AAAAAATGAAGAGACTTTTTCTTGCTCTTCGTTTTTCAATACATGAATATAAAAAGTCTCATTATTTTGGATATGTAAAAGCTGAATATAACCAATCTGTTTTTTATTTTCGTTTTTAGGTTACAAAAACTTAGTTTGTTGAATAATATATATGCAGATAATGACATAAAACAATTTGCTGAAAGTATCAAACTTTCTTGCAACTCTACTTTTCGTTATTAATTATTGTTCTAATTTCATACCCAACCCCAACATTTGAATTTGCATCGACTTTTAAATCCATTAAAAACTTTATTTAATGTAAGTATGTAAAGGAAATAATTCCTTGAGTATTCTCATTCAATAACAACGATATATATATACAAAAGAGATACAAGAACTTTTCTAACAAACTTGGCTAACAATAAGGAATATATATATCCTAAAATTACACGATATGCACAATATTCTAATAGTCCCCCACAGTTGAAGCAGGAGCAGGGCACACACTTAAACTGGATCGAAAAGTTTCAAATAATTGATGTGGTAAGCCTTTCGTGAAGATGTTAGCGTATTGGTATGCAGAAGGAACATGAAGTAYGTGAATGTCACCGACTCGAACCTTTTCATGAACAAAGTGGATATCCATTTCGACATGTTTGGTCCACTGATGTTGGACTGGATTTCCGGATAAGTACACTGCTGAGATGTTATCACAATATATCAAAGTAGACCGTCGAATCGAAACATGAATCCAACATGATTCAGCAACYGCATTAGCAACCCTTCTATATTCGGCTTCAACACTAGATCGTGAAATGGTGGGTTGCTTCTTTGAAGACCATGACACCAAATTATCGCCAAGAAAGACACAATATCCGGAAGTAGAACGACGCGAATCAAGGCAACCTCCCCAGTCGGCATCAGTGTACGCTGTGAGAGTATGCCGGAGAGAGATGGTTATACGTATGCCAAAGTCAAGAGTGCCCTTTATGTACCAAAGAATGTGTTTCATGAAATTAAAGTGTGGTTCCCGCAAAGCATGCATAAAAAGGCACACTTGTTGAACAACATAGGTGATATACGGTCGTGTGAAGGTGAGATATTGCAGGGCTCTTGCCAGTTGTCTATAGAGAGTGCCATMGGCTAGAAGAGCGTCRTCCATGGCACTGAGCTTGCGTGCAGTATCAACTGGTGTAGTGGTAGGATTACATGTACTCATGGCTGCCCGTTTCAAGTTATCGCATGCATACTGGGCTTGTGACAAAAATAACCCTTGAGAGGTACGGGTAACCGTGATACCCAAAAAATGGTGTAGTGYCCCGAGATCGGTCATAGCAAATTCCCGGGATAATGTGGCAATAATAGACGTTAAGAAGCCAGGATCAGATGCTGTAAGGACAATACCATCAACATATAAAAGTAGATATGCAGTATGTATACCGTGTCGATATATGAACAAGAAGTTATCACAAACACTGTTGCGGAACCCATTGGCAATAATAAATGTTGCAAAGCGATGATACCAAGGCCGTGGGGCTTGTTTGAGGCTGTATAGGGACTTACGAAGTCGGCACACAGGATGAGAAGCATGATGGTCCACAAACCCCGGTGGTTGGTGCATGTAAACAGTTCATGAAGGTCCCCGTGTAAGAATGCATTCTTTACATCTAGTTGATGTATTGATCAAGACCGTGAAACAACAAGGCTTAAAACTGTGCGAATTGTCGTCGATTTAACAACTGGACTGAAGGTTTCATCGCAATCAATACCAACCGTTTGTGACTTACCATTTACTACAAARCGAGCCTTGTATCGCTGTAGAGTACCATCAGTATGAAATTTGTGACGAAAAAACAACATGCACCGTATGACAGGTCGATCCTTAGGTCGTGGAACAAGTTCTTACGTATTATTTTCTTTTAGCGCATTAAATTCGTTGGTCATGGCATTGTACCAGTCTGGGTCCGAGAGGGCTTTGGAGTAAGAGGAGGGTATGGAAGTTATTGGTTTGGATGATTGTGTGTGAAAATTGAGTATTTGTCGGGGTTTGACAATACCATGATGAGAGCGGGTAGTCATGGGGTGGTGGGGGCAGCAGGTTGAGGTGAAGCAGCAGTTTGTGGGGGCGGAATAGGAGATGGCGGAGAGAGTGACGGAGAATGGGCGAGTGAGGATGGATTGGTCAATGGAGTGGAAAGGTTGGGAAACATCGTATGTGGGAGGGGAGGATCAAGATCGAGGAATTGATATGTAGGGGTGGTTAAGGGTTTGGAAAGTGGGAAGGTATGTTCGTCAAAGATTACATGACGAGAAAGGAGAACTTTGCCCGTCAAGGGGTCATAGCACCGGTAACCGYAAAAATTGGTAGGGTATCCGAGAAACACACAATGTGTTGAGCAGGTGTCTAGTTTGTGGGATTGAGTGGAGGAAGTGTTGGGGTAGCATGCGCAGCCGAACACATGTAAATGATYGTATGCAGGGTGGCGAAGGTAGAGGGCATAGGTAGGGGTGTAGTTGTTTAACGTTTTAGTGGGTAAGATGTTGTGGAGGTAGGTTGCGGTGGGTAGGGCTTCGACCCAAAAGGTGGGCATGGGCTAAAAGAGAATGAATGATATCATTTAGACGACGAATCATACGCTCGGATTTTCTATTTTGTTRAGAGGTTTGGGGACAAGAAAAACGAAAAATGAGACCTTGTTGTGTGGTAAAGATCTTGAATTCTGTGTTATCAAACTCACCCCCTAAATCACATTGAAAACATTTAATTTTTCGATTTAATTGGGTGTGAACGAGATTATGAAATTTAGTAAAGTTGGTGAAGGTGTCCGATTTAAATTTCAACGGGTAAACCCACACATATTGTGTGTGGTTATCCATTAGCACCATATAGTATTTATAGCCGGATTTTGTTAAGTATGGGTGAAGTCCATAAGTTACAGTGCATTATATCAAATGGTGCAAACGTGAGACTAGAAGATTTAACAAATGGCAACCGTTTATTTTTAGAGATTTGACATGAATGACAAATAGAAGAAACACTAGGTTTATTACATGAAATAAAACCATGAGTATGAAGAAAATCTAAAGTAGAGGAGCCGGGATGTCCTAGACGGTTGTGCCACATGTCCATGGTATCAGAGCTTAGGTTCTTCGGCGATTAGTCATWTACGGGATATTTTAGTCATTTTACTCATCTTCTTCTTTCTTCTTCATCTCATCATCATTATCACGAACATGATCGCATTCAATAGCGGCTACTTCATAATTTATCATCAACCCAATAGATCATCAAAGTCCAAAAACACTATGGAAAATCAGCCCTATTGCTTGTCGTCRCTGTTGATCCATTGTGACGGTTGTCAATGCCGGTAGTTTCTTTGGTATATGCTTGTAGTTGTAAGTACCTACTATGACAACTCGTCGTCGCTATAGTTAATTTAAATAAAATTTTAAATTTTTATCAAAAATGCGACGAATAGTCGTTGCTATAGGTCAAAAAGTAAAAATTTGTTTTTACTTACCGGACGACAAGCCGTYGCAGTAGGTAAAGGGTTAAACGGTGAGAAGTGCGCACGAGTTTTGCCTTAGATAATCATTATATATTTAGAAAAGATCATATATATAAAGCTCCAAATAATTGCAGAGCAAAAAAATCTGACCTGTGTAGTCCCTTCGAAAACAGCTTCAAATATGCCACCACTGTAATAATCAAGGCCTCTTGACAAACTCAAATCCAGAACCACTTTGTCAACACATCTTGAGTTGTCCAATGCTTGGAATAGCTTCCCCAAGTCCTTCAACGCTTGATTGTACGCATCATTTTTTAAAAATTCACTTCCTTTTCAAGTTCCAATATTGATTTCAATGGATGCCCCCCTTACCTTCACAAATGAACCAATTTTTTCCACTGTCTCGGCATCTAATCCCTTTTCTTCAATTAACCATTACATGCTATGAAACACGGCTATAGAAACACACAGAATATTATACCAAGAGATTGCAAGGCTACAACATTTCATAATAATCTTTTAGTTGTCCAATTTACTGTGATTCTTAGCCAAGCTGCCCTAATATCAATATTATTGATATTTGTCCCACCATTTTTATTGCCTTTCTTCTCCTTAGCCTTGTAGGTTTCTGAATCCACAACAGAAATAGGGGAATTGCTCATCCCACTTTTTCATAAGGTGGTTCCATATCATAATGATTATCTCGTTTCAGAAAGGTGTTGTATCCATAAGACTGGAGTGTTTAATTCTATATAATAATGATTGATGAAACAAACTGCATAGTAGCTAACGAAAAGGAAGAAATTAAACCTACAACACCAATTTGTTCGCATGCTTTAGCCTTCTGAAGTCGAAGATTGATGTCATCACTACTTAAACTCAAGATGACATAACTTGTATCAAAACTGGTTTAACACAAAAGACCCTGTATTGATGAATTATCAAAGTCAATTCCCAAGGTATGTGAATAAATAGATATAAATGGAAGATATAGGCTGATACTACAAACACGTTACAGAGAATACTTATGGCCACAAAGAAAGTACATATCATAGACATTGAGGGGCCAAACCTTTACATTCTCTTATTATGATGTATTTCCATGCTATTTCCACCATTGACTGAAATATCCTCACTTACAAAAGTCCGATAAATTGTGAGTACAATGCTTTCGCCAAAGAAGTGGTTGCAAATTCAACTGAAATATGTGTACATGGCATGGTACATGTATGACATATTATATTTCACACTGCAACAATAATAAAGTAAGAAACGGTTAAAAAGACTACAAAAGTTGGAATAAATAAAAAGTAAGCTTAAATATGAGTATATGACATTCATCACTTACCACGGTGACCCTGCTTAACTTATTTACGTTACTTGTTTGAATTGGTGGAAACCAATCAAGCATTAGAGACATTTAGGAATTTCAATAGGGTCTTCTTGTTTCTTTCATAATCCACAAACCATTAAGCTTCATGTGATGACATCTCGTTGGGACATTTTGGTCTAACAATTTATATGCATCCTTTATTTAATCAGTGACATATTTGTTTGTTGATATAAATCTGAAGGATATGCTACTTCTTCTTGCTATGGTTTCAATGAACCTGTAAGGTTTATACACATTTCATCTCTTTCTTCATTCATCTTGTACATTTATTTGAATAGATCTGCATTAAAAAGGTACAAATGGACAAAAGTGTGTTTTTAGAAAAGATCCCAGAACCAATTGTATTGTAGTAAAAGAGGTCGATAAAAAGGGAGAACTAATCAGAAGAATCTACTAGCAAAACATCGAAGACCAAAGATCAAAATAGCATCATGTTTAAATTGCTTGTCATAAATGTTCTCCTATTTATCTAGACTTGGGATCGTGTGAGACCAACCTGTTTTCGTGAGACCCGTGAGACCACTTTTTTACACTTGAAATTTCACAGTTAAATGCTGTGAAGGTAACCTTCACAGTGTTTTTGCTGTGAAGGTTCGGATTTTTTTTTTACCTTCACAGTGTTTTTGTTGTGAAGTTTCAAGTGTAAAAAAGTGGTCTCACGGGTCTCACGGAAACAGACTGGTCTCACGTGAACCCAACCCTATTTATCTAAAAATCCAATCCAAGAAATGAAAAGATAAATCTGAGACTAAATCTCAACAATTTTAATAATCAAAAGCATTAAATGTATAAACCCTAGACTACAGAGATGCARGCGGTTCAATGATCGCAGAGCAAACAATCGAACACTAAATTAAAAAGCGAATCGAAATCCTTGACTACATAAACCTTAAATTCAAACATAGGGCAATGCACTTTGAACGTAACGAAGTGAAAGTTCAAGGAACTTCTACATCATTGTGCCATGGCTGTCGTTGGAGGAATGAGAACCGTTCTCCGTCACCATCGTTGAAGTTAGCTTATTTTCGCCTTTGTGTTATTGTGTGTGTCTGAAAATGGGAGTAGCAGACGACATGTACAAAGGTCGTTCTCTATTTTGAAATACCCTATGGCGACGACATGTCATGGCTACATGACAAAGCATTCTCTCCCTTTCGCTAAAAAAGAAGCACGAAACTTTTTGTTTTTTCAAAAAGTTATTTTCAACCTTATTGCAACGACATTTCGTCGCTGTAGATTAAATTTTTTTTTTCCCATTTTTTGTCTAAAAAAATTAGTATTTTAATTTCTAAAAGACGATTTGAACCTATTTCGACAACTTTTGAATCGTCGCTGTAGGCATCGTCACTATAGCCGTAACATCAAAAACATAAAGTTGATTCAAAAAATCCAATCCAAACACAGAAGGAGAATAAAAGATTACCAAAACCTAGATATTTATTCCAAAATCGTAAACCCAAATAACGAAAATTAAAACACTAATTGTTGTAAAATAGTTTTGATATCGTCAATATTCAATAAAGTTTAGATATTTATATTAATAAAGTTTATAACACTATCAAACAAGTTCACATTTCCGGCAGCTTTATTCACCGGTGACTAATTTTCCGACAGATTACGGCCTCCAGAAATTTTAACCCATTTTATTTAAGAAATCTTATTAATATTCAAGTTTTTTTTTAAAAAAAATTGAATTAAATTACCCGCCGGAAAACCGTA